ATCTCTTCTATGTAGCAGAAATCTGCACAATCAAACATCATTTTTACTTCAGTTTTTGGGATCCTTTGCTAATTGCGTTTTTGGGTTATATGTAAAATAGCACAATTTAATCAACCTCATATTAATGGCTTAAATATCTATTTATAGAATAAACCTATTTGTATTATCTTAAGTTTTTAATTGGCCACGTAGTGTACAATCTCTCTAATAGAACTAAGACTCATCTACAAAGTGATGTAACTTTGTAGTTTCTACTAGGGGTAACAATTAATGGAGCGAATCAGGCCAGGGTACACCATTACTATCTCTTTTCCCCCATTACCGCCTCCATACTCATAATATTCAAATTGTGGATTCCCCATCCTCGTCGCCCCATTAAAAAAAACAGATAAAAAAATTGAAAATTTTGAACAAGAAAAGAAAAGAAAATATCTATTTTCTACTTCTATTATTGGAGAGATAGTACCGTCAGTTAACTTGATACTACGTGTTTGACCGTAGGCACTACTACAACAATCATAAAATGAATTACATTCTGGACCAACATATGCCAAAAATGAATAAAGTGGAAGAAATAATTGATGAGAGAATAAAGAACTTACGTCCAGTCTCATGGGTGACATGGGCAAAGAAGGCAGCAATCTCACGCTTAGAGTCGTCAATGGAGCCAATCTTACCGAACTGATCATAAGACTTGAGAGCCTCAAGAAAGGTAGCTCGGGAATAAAAGTTCTTGCCGGCACAGCTTGCCTCGGCTTGGCCAATTATGCTGTTGAAGAATTCGGGCGTGACGATGTCAGCCACCGACACATCGCTAGTGCTCGGGGTTAGAGGTGCCGTCTTGCACGGCCCTGCTTGGCACCCGGTGCCGCAGTAGTCATCACTTGTGCCACAATACCCATATTTGCTACAACACAAGTCTGAAGCACACCCACAATTTTGTGCCTCCACATACCGACCTACAGCTGCAGCTACAATAAGAAGGGTTAGAAATATGTTGCTGGGTACAATGATTTGAGCCATTTTGGTTTCTAAGGCAGGGAATGAGTGATGGAGAATGAAGGTAGAGTTGATTATTATTTATAGTGGAGAATATGAATAATAATGTGGGTAGGCCACATGTGTAGTTGTGGGTTTGAATTTTGTGAGTTGGGTTTCAAAGTGGATTTAATTTTCTAGAAGGAGAGGGTTGACTGACTGATCTCAGGGTTGACTTTTGACTTTGGCCATGGATGTAGGACAATTGATCCTCTGTTAAGACTTCTCAGGCTCAAACAGGAAGAATAACGTGTGAACTATTAACTCAGAAACATGAAGGGAAAAAAAAAGTCAAACATTCTAGGCTCCTTCGCAAATTGGTAGAGCAACCTCCATATATTTAATTGACCCCTAAAATAAATAAAAAACACTATGTTGGCAGTGGCATAACCGAAACATCAAATCGGCTGATAATAAAACATTATTCTCTTTTTATATATAAAAATATCAATTGGCTAAAGTGGTGGCAATGAAGTTTATTAATTTCTTGGGAAAGTAACGAGTGATGAGTGTATCATGTGTCACATAGCATAATCGTAGTGGAGCCAAAAAACTTGGACTTATCTCGGGTGAGCTGAGTGATTAAGTTTTTTAAATTTTATTTATCAGAGTCAGAGCGTTACAAGAAAAATCAATAATGGACACAAATATTTATGGTATTGGATGGGGTGGTTGTAAGGACTATCTGCAAC